CCGGGCTGGGGTGGGCGTGCAGGGACTGGCGGCCCTGCGTCAGGGGGTGGGGCGGACTCCCGGGGCCCCTGGGAGCGCCAGAGTGCAGAGTGGGCAGCCTGGCAGTTTGTGGTTAGAGGGCGTCAGGCCTACGGGCGTCATCCGATGCCACCACAGCCCTGAGAAGCAGGCGGAGGGATGAGGCTCCAGTTTGGAGATGCAGAAAGTGGCTGGGTCACCGGCCAGTCGGGACCAGAGCTCAGCACCGGCGCCTCACCTGGGCACTTTCTCCTAAGTTCTGCTGGGCTGCTGACCCCATCTCAAGCGTCTGAAAAGCCCAGTTAAAGCCTGCTCCGGAGTTTTAGCTTGAGGAAGCCTCTATTACAAGGGCCGATGTGTTGTGGTGGAGGATTGACTGGTTAGCTCATGCCTGGAAAGAGCTCAAGTGAAAGTCAGGCTGTCTTTGGAGAAGAATCTGGAGTTCCCACACTGGGGTTACCTGATGGGTAGGGGCAGGCTGAGCAAAGCTGAAAAGTGAGAGGTGTGGGATGGTGGGTGTGTCCTTGAGGGTCTCCTCACCTTCTCTTTTTCTACCTCTCCCATATTTAGTTAAGTCGAAGTGTGGTACAGGGATCTCTGGGGGTACCTGAAACCACTTTAGGAGGTTTTTGAGTTCAAAATTATTTTTATATCATTCTAAAATATTATCGGCTTTTCCCCCCCACTCTCTTTCACTAATGTACTGTGCCTGTTTCCAGAGACCACATGATGTATAAAATAAAACGCAGAAGCAGATATGAACATTGAGTTGTCTTCTTTGAAGGTAGACGTTAAAGGAATTTGTAAAAATGCAGAACAATGCTACTTTTATTTCTAATTTTTGTTCATCTTGGAAAATATCTTCATAAAATACACTCAATGGACTTATAGATGTTATTTTCAAATGAATTAATATATATTAAAAAATTTTCTGTTATAATTTCTAAAATGATAAAGTCCAATGGATATAATCCATTCAAATAAAAGATCTTTGCAACTCGTAATTTTTTTCTGACTTTTAATTTTTTATTTTAAAGATGTGGAGTACACTTCAGGGTTAGGTATACAAATGTTCATTATGCAGGTACCCTTGTTGATGAGGTGTCTCCCCCCACCCCCGGCCAGATTACCACTACTGCCAATCCCACCTCCCCGCCACCCCGCAGTTTCCTGCTACTGCCAAACCTTTTCTTACAGTATTACAATAATTGTTCAGGTTTCACTTATGAGTGAGAACATGTGATACCCAGTTCTTTGTTTCTGTTATAGATGACTCAGTATTAAAGACTCTGAGTACATCCAGGTTGCTGTGAAGTTCATAATTTGTCCTTCTTTATGGCAGTGTAATATTCCATCATGTATATGTACCACTTTTTTTTTTTATCCAGTCCTCTTTCGATGGGCAGCACAGTTGGTCCCATGTTTTTGCTATTGTGAGCAATGCTGCAATAAACATACGTGTGCAGGTATCTTTTTCATAGAATTATTTGAGTTCTTCCTGGTATATTACCAGTAGGAGGATTGCAGGGTCGTATAGAAGGTCGATTTTTAGATCTTTTAGGAATTGCCAAACTGTTTTCCACAAAGGTTGTATTAGTTTACACTCCCACCAACAGTATAGAAGTGTTCCCTTTTCCCTGCATCCTTTCCAGCATCTGTTTTTTTTTTGTTTGTTTGTTTTTATTGCTGATGGCCATCCTGACTGGAGTTAGGTGGTATCTCAGCGTAGTTTTAATTTGCATTTCTTTGATGACTAGTGAGACTGAGCATTTTTTCATGTATCTGTTGGCTGCTCATATGTCTTCTTTTGAGAAGCAGTCTATTCATATCTTTTGCCCACTTTGTAATGGGTCTGTTTGTTTTTTTCTTTTCAGCACATTTGAGTTCCTTGTAGATCCTAGATGTTAGGCCTTTGTCAGACATATAGTTAGCAAATATTTTTTCCCAGTCGGTGGGCTGTCTCCCTGCTCTCTTGAGGGTTTCTTTGGCTTTGCAGAGGCTCGTCAGTTTGATGAGGTCCCACTTGTCTATCTTATCTCTTATGGCATGGGCACTTGGGGTTTTGATCAGGAATTGGTGTGGCTTGTAATTTTTAGGTGTGCAAAGAGTTTGTAAGGCCAGTAAGTTTGAGAATTGCTTCTTTAAGTCCTACTGCGTTCTGTCATATTCGTTTATATGCATGTTCCCCCCATACATTCCTTAGTCTTTTCAATTTATTCCTGGGCTGTCACCTCAGCCTTTTCAGTTTAGATAACTGCAGTTTAAAATATGGAACAAAATTCTAAAATCCAAACTATTGATTTGGGCCAAGCAGAAGATAGTGTATTCCGTGCTCAGGTAGGAGAGCCAGCATGGCCGTTTACTTCCTGTGTGGCCGCTGTCATGTGAACTTTCCCCTCTTGCCGATCTTACATTTGCTCACTCATAGAACGTGAATAATATCTGTGCTGCTGGGTTGTTGTGAAAGTTAAATGAGAAGCTGTTGAGTTGTATGCAGTGAACACTGGTTGTGGTAGGACACCAAAAAGTACCCCTTCCCCCTGAAAAGAAAAAGAAAAAAAATCCCATTACCCTAAGAAACACTTTTCCATTCTTTTCAGTTCTTGTTTATTTGCTTCATAAATTCAGCGTTATAATAATGGCATAGACAACATTTCATATTCTTTTTTTTCCCCCAAATGGCTAGAGATTCTGATGTCTATATGTTTGAAAGTTCACATTGTACTGTCAGATTTATCTTGGCCCACGTTAGAAGATGGTGATCCTGATTTCTGGATGTTTTAACATTCTGTTAATGTAGAATGCTCCATAGAAGACCAGAAGTAAAACCTCTCTCTTGTCTGAGGCAACATTAGACCCCCTGTGGCTTGTCCCCACTCCCACTCAAATAGGACTTAGATGTTAAAACAGGTGTGGGAGGTTGTGGCAACAGCTGTGAGTGCTGTGTATGTATGTGTGTGTGTGCGCACGCGCGCGCATGTGTGTGTGTGTGTGTGTGTGTGTAGTGGGAAGTTTATACAGTGCCAGGCATTTCTAGGGCTTAAGAGCCAAGGAAATAGTTTTCCCTTCCAAAGAGGTTTTGCAATTTTCTATGCACCCAGTGGACAGCCTTGCTGCAAGGGTTCATCCCAGGTTCATCTCTGGTCATCAGCTCCAAGGGACTTTGTGGGCACAGCCAGGCCCCCCTCCTAAGAAGCGGCTTCCCTTTTCTCCCAAAGACAAGCTGACCAGGCTCAGTCTTCACTCTCTACTCTGCCAGAGAGTCCCCCAGACTCTGAGAGACCCCTGGTCTGCTGAGGGCCATCACTGCCCTATTGTGTATCCCACCAGGTGTGTCGTTTGTGACAGCAGGAGGATTCTGGGTGCCGTTAGGCTCCCTATTGGGGTTTGCAGGGAATGTCAAAGAACAAAATTTGAAAGGGGATGAGCTCTTAAAATATTTGTTTGTGCTGATCTCAAACCAGGCAAAGTAAGGACCAAAGGAAGGCCCAAGCTTCACCTGTATGATGTCCACTTGTATACTTAATTCTGAATTGTACCACACATCATTAAAATAAAATATATTTAAAGAAATATTTTTTTGTTTATTGACAAATGGAAGGTCTCTCCTGAGGGCTGGGGTGGTGAGCCGGTGTGCTCATGTTCAGGTATAGCGCACATCCCTAAGCCAGACAACTTAGAAAGCCCCTCTAGATACCCCACAACATCATAATAAAAAAATTGATTAAAAAACCCCCCAAAACCAGTATATATATATATAATATATAAAAGAAAGCCCCTCTAGATGCTTCTTTTCTCCCAAGACCTTTTCACAAGCCCTTTTTCAAGGCTCCCCTCTCTGGCTCCCGCTTGGTGCTCCTGGCTGCTTCCCTCTTCCATTCTTTCTCTTCATTCCCTTCTCTCGCCTTCCCAGAGCAATGCACATTTCTCTTCCTAACTTTATCATATGTTTAGTTTTCACCCCTTGGTCTTTATACATACAAGTGTTTCATGAACACATTGTGAGGAGTCAATTCAGAAAACTTGATATTTTCCTAAAATGTTCCCTCCCCCCAACTATTTTTCAAAATTGTGGTCAAATTTACCATCTTAACCATTTCTAAGTGCTTATCAACATTAAGTACATTCACACTGTTGTACAGCCATCGTTACCCTCTAGCTCTGGAAATTTTTCATCTTCCCAAAGTGAAACTCTGTACCTATCAAACACTAACTCCTCACTCTCTTTCCCCCAGCCCGGGCAATCCTGTTCTACTTCCTGTCTCTCTGAATCTGACAACTCTAGGTACCTCACACGAGTGGAGTCGAATGACATTTGTCATTTTCCGACAGCTTATTACACTCATTGTAATGTTCTCGAGGTTCAATTTGTTGTAGTGTATGTCAGAATTTCCTTCCTTTCAAATAACATTTCACTGTATGTATAGACCAGATTTTCATTATCCATTCAACTGATGATGGAAATTTGAGCTCCCAACCACTTATAATAATTTAATGTGACCGTGGGGCCCCTTTCCACTTCTTTTTCTGTTTCTCGATGAGTTCATATACACATGTGAACAATATTTTGTGATGTAAACAGGATCATACTGTGTGTTTCCTTCTACAGCTTTCTTGTTTACAAATTAACTGTCATCTTCATAGATATAAAGTATGAACATACTAAAAATTGTACTATGAGATTTGTGCTGAA